ATAATTGTGGATGAACCACTGATGTCACATGGATTATTTTACCGATGTCCTTGCTACGTTTCTGGACTTGGGAACATTTCAGTTGTATTGCTGTCTATGCAGGGTCAGACAGCTCTTAAGCCTTGCTCACACTACAGGATTTTTAGCCCGATTTAGCCCCGATTTCCCCCTCCCGAGAATCGGAGCAAAAATCTTGTCGAGCCCCTCGATCGGTCCCGATGTTCGGCGCGGATTATCTGGAAATTTGAGGCGCTCACTGATCGAATCTTGCACCTCCCGATCTGCTCGCACATTCAGAATCCTATGTCACTGACCTTGTCATGCAATTGCCAGGAGAGCTTCTTGATTGACAATTGCCCCGCCCTTTTCTGTGTAATCACCCCAATGATGTCATGTGATTTCAGTCACATGACATCTATGCTAAAATTATAGTAAAAGTCCTGTTGACTAAAGTTTGTTAGAACAGGAAATAAACACACTGGAGTTTAGGTGTCCCCATCTTCTGGTGTTCAGTGACGCGAGGACAACGTTTGAGCGTGTACACGCAATATCGGAGCGAGAGCGGAGCCAATTCATACAATAAAATAAAAAACAATGTATAGTTAAAAGCACACGTCCAGTTTTGTATGAGTGAAGGAAATCCTCTTGCGGATTCTTGCGGTGAGATTCTTGCTCACACATTACATGGATCAGATTTCAGGCCATCACGTAGACACACCCCTGGTCACGAGGCGATCACGTGAGGCGCTCCCTCTGGCATGATAATCTTAATAATATCTTGCAGTGTGTGATGCGCCATGATGTTCAAATTTTGTAGTGTGTGCATGTTTAAGATTTGAGAGAAAATAATCTGCAAAGATTCTCCTTGTGTGTGCTGCAACCAGATTTCATAATCGGTTAGGATTTTAAAACTCCTGTAGTGTGAGCCCAGCTTTAGATTCCATCAAAAATATCTTAATTTGTGTTCCGTTGCTACACATGATGACAGTCTTTTGAAGACCATGAAAGGCTGGTTGTCCAAGAAGAGAAGAAAAAGGGTTTTAAGGGTTTATTATAAGCCTTCACTTTGAAATTAAAGGCGTAATTTTTCCTGTTTTACCGTGCTCTCTCTCACACACACATTATATATATGTACATTTATATAATGTTTATTTATTTAGTGTGTGTGTGTGTGTGTGTGTATGTGTATGTATGTGTATAACTTTTTATTTACCATGCTGTTAAGGTAAGCGATGAGACAAAAACTTTAAAACCCATTATAAACGAGGCATTTGTTGCATCCAGTGGGGACATAATTACGGATTATAATGACTTGTACTGGCTTTTTACGTGTTGCATTGCGCCACGTAAACATAAAACCATGTCTGCATTTGTGATTGGAGAAATGACAAACAAGAGCTACTCTACACTGCTCAAAACTCTCGTTTGAATCGTCAGTGGCAAATCCTTTAAATATGAAAACGTACTTGCAGTCTGAGTCAGAACAGCCGGCATTGTAGTCTACTCTACCAGGATCAGGAAACAGTCCTCCATAAAATGTGCTGCACACATCGGAATATTTGGGTTGAACTGTTCTGGAACGGTGTTGTAAATACAACTTAACCACTGATTTCTAGTCGTGTCCTCTTTTAGAAGGCCAAACAAAGTAGTTTCACTTTCACAACGAAACACACAGCGTCATACACGGCGGGCTTGAGTGAGCGGCGGCTGGCGGGCTAGAGGGAGGAACTGCCGACAGGCTTGAGAACGGTGCGGCAGGCAGGTTTGCGGCAACCACATGTGACGACCTCGGTCTGGACTCCGCTTCGTCCTCGGTGAAAGCCGATCCTGCGATCCACAGCGCGAAGTTGATGTATTTCTTCAGTGACCAGCACGGATCAGCTCTAGGCATGACGAAGTGGATGATATCCTCTTTTGGAAGGCCAAACAAAGTAGTTTCGCTTTCACATCGAAAAACACACAGCATCTTCATGACATGGCGGCAGCAACAATGCTACAGCGAGAATAAAAGTTACGTCGCCTTTCTTTGCGTGAACATTTGGTCAGTGTTATGCAAATCTTCCCACATCGTGATGTAGACATGTGGGGGCGTGTTAGAATGAGCCTTTTTAGGTAGGTGTGGTTGACTCTTAACTTTTATAAAAAAAAAATATATATATATATATAAAGAGACTTTAGTCTTTGCAACTTTACACATCATCTTTATGCACAAAGAACTTGTAACACTCCAAAGAGAAAGGAAAAGTTGAAATCGCATCATATGACCCCTTTAACCTTTGTGGTTGATTACATAGCATCAAACTCATAAGCCTGTCTTTCACAACTGTTGCTTACTCATCCTAACAAAACAAGTATTGCAAGTGCAAGCATCTTTGTATTAAAGCGTATATAGCATTAACATAAAACAAGCAAATAACATAACATTGAAACAGGTAAATAGCAATACAATTATCCATATCCAAAACACCCCCTTCTTGCTATTTTCCTGGTTCAGTCCAACACATTTATTACTTTCATTTTTATGTGCATATACCCTTCAAATGTTTTGGTCTTTTTGTTGAATTTCATTAATTCATTGTATATCTGGCCTCTTATAGTTATCTTCATTTTCCCAATAACGTACATGTACTCTTTAATCCAAATTTTCCCCTTTTTTTGGTTTCAACACACCTTCTCTAAGCACCAAATCTCTTATAATATCATGTTGGGGCCAAATTTTTATACACTTCTTCACAATGGTTAGGTACTGCCCAAATTTTTGCCGCAAAAGCGGTAAATTGGTTATTTCATGTTGGCATGCTCCAATGTACTCTCCCCTTAAAGATACCCATTGAATATCTGTCCATGTGAGGTCAGATAAAGGTACGGCCTCTCCCTTCTCTTACACTTTTTACAGTGTCTAATGGATTGGGGTTCGAGTCTCAAGCAAGACCTTGGCCGCCACCTTCCTTCTGGGTTCCTGGGGCTTCTCTTCCACCATATCCAGCAATGCCTCTGTCTATGAGATAAAACATCCCATACTCTTTTAAATTCTTAACAATTTCTTATTGTACCCTCAATGTAAAGCATTTTTTTTTTTTCAATATTCAGTCTTTTACCCCATCATATTACATATCAGTATTTCAACAAACACTTTTAATTATTTAATCATTTCTACTTCTTTCAATTTTATATTGCTTCATTACAATTGTACTGTCATTGCTCAATACAGTATTTGTATAAATTTCCTATAATTAAAATCATACATCTTCCGCTTTTTAATTTAATCCAATTTACACATTTTCTATAATCTACATAACACTTCTTGTCTATTTTCTATCCGTCAGTTTTTCTTCTGTACCAGACACCAGATCCTCTATTTCCATGTGTCTTTGGAGCCTCTAAAAACATCATATAAATTACAACCAAAGGTATTATTCCTCTTGTACCCATTATTGCATTTACACCTAATATAGTTGCTCCAATTATCCATTTAGTTAAAGTTACCACTTTCCATTCGCTCCATTTGCTATTAGTACATTTTTTGGTAATCAAAATTACTTCTACTATTGTGTTAACCACTACTCCTGCAAGTACAACTTCCTCTGTAATAATTGCATATAACCACATTTCAGGCAAATACATAACTATAAGCATGATGCAAGGCTACTAATTTCCCCCAAACCATACAAGTTTTTTAAAAATATCTTAACATTGTCAACAACTTTTTGCTATGGTAAATCAAAATTATCATAACATCACCCATAACGCTTTTTCTATACACGGTTTTTATCATGTATAGCAACACTATTCCTATTGTTCCTTTTATTTTCATGTTTTCCCAAATCATAATAAACATCCAAAGGAATAAACTGGATTCAATTACCAGTAATCCCATAAGGTCAGATCCACTGATCTTGGTTGTGGTATAGTTGCTTGCCATGGTTTGTTCTAAAGTCTCACTAGTCTCTCTATAGCTCTTTCAACAGGTTAGTAGACAGGTCTGCTGAACTTTATGCTTCTCATTGCTTTTATATTGACATCTTTCCTGTCTTTTTGTTGCAGCGCCTCCTTGATTTCATATTCATCATCATATGTTCTCATCATTCAGGATGTTGCAGGCACAACAGCAAACAACTTTCAGCAAATGCCTTAGTATACCATTAAAACCTGTTAATTATCCCACTATTAATATTCCTATTACTGTTCCTACTATCAGTAACACAATTATCCAATTGACCACTTTCATTAATGTATTCAAAAGCTCTTGACCTACATCTATCACTGTAGATAATGTTTTTTTTCTCTCTAACACTTTGCCCACTAATATCCATCCTTGTGATTCTTTCACCTAAATCTTTCCAATCTTCTGTAGTCCACTGCCTGTATCCTACATTCTTTTCAGCATATTGTAATCTTGCTACCATCCAATACCACGGGTAAGGTGGCATACACCTTCCTTGTTCCTGATTATTGAAATTCCACATGTTCCCCATAAATATGAGTAAATTTGTTGTAATCCTTTTTGCTAACAACCTATTAATTCCCTGATCAAGGTCATGTCTTCTAATATTATAATCTATTTTAGTGTGTACACTAGACCATCCAACATTCATTACTAATTTAACTCTTGGATCTTTGTCTTTTTCATAATGTAATAATCTCCATAAACTTTTAGGGGCATACATTACTGTTTGATCATCTAAATCCCCATTAAGATTATATGATAGTCTATATTCAGGTTTCATAATATTTTGACTGTTATGATATACTGGTATTGCTTCAGGTATTATCCAGCTCACTCTTCCAGTTATATTAGCATTTCTTACTCTTACTATAGGCATTGGGTAATACTCATATAACCACCTATTTTCATATTGAATCCTCATACCATAATGACTCTCCTTTTTTCCATTTAACTTAAACATGGGTCCTTTTAAACAGTTTTTCAGTAATTACTTCATTAATATTGTCTCCTATATTTCCTATAATATCCCAAAGTCTTAGTTGCAACACCATTTGGTCTGTTTCAGTGCCATTTTCAGTTAAAGTATTCTTCCACAATTCTGGATTTTCCTCCATTATTTGTGATCTTCGTCCGTGCCATGTAAATCCTCCAGCATTTCTCGAAAATATATAACCAATGTTTTTCTACTTCCTTTTCCCAGGTTAACCCTCAAAGCCCGCGGCTAAAAATAACTATTGTTCTTAAATGTTTAAAAGGGTCATATGATGCGATTTCAAGTTTTCCTTTCTCTTTGGAATGTTACAAGCTGATTGTGCATAGATAAGATCCCTGAAGTTGCAAAGACTAAAGTCTCAAACCAAAGAGATATTCTTTATCAAAGTTAAGACTCTGCCACGCCCCCCTAAAACGGCTCGTTCTAACACGCCCCCACAT